AGCCTCAAGAAGGAAAGTTTTGTCTGAGAGACACAGACAGAAGCTTCGAAATGAGAAACTTCAGATATATTGAGACCATTAAAGAAGCTTTAGAAAGGGAGTGCCCTAGAATTGTCTTCTGTGCAGATACTCTTCTGTTGTTTGCTAGAGATAGCATTGTTGCGGTAACATTAGTTTTGTTGATCCCAAAGGCGACGTAAAGATTGAGATTAATGACGTTGTATGAAATATGTAACAAGATCACAAATATGAAACAAGATTTTTAAAGTAAAGAAATCAAAGAAAGTTAAGCAGAGGAAACGATGTTTTATTATAACAATATGGAGAGAAAATTACGACACAACAATTTTTGCTCAAACTAAACTAAAAGAAGAGGCCACTATTTATAAGTACATACCATACCATAAAGATGAAAATAATGTAAAATAAGAAAATAATATATTTCTAATAAAATCACATAAAAATAAGGAAATAATTTTTTTATATGAAAATAAGGAAACGATTTTTTCCTAATTTGGGTCATAAACGAAACAATCTCTACCTTGACCCAAATTCTGGTGCAACAAATGAAGCTCTAAAATTTCTCTACCTGAAAAAATATGTCCAACTGTACCGAAATAACCGAACTCTTCAAAACAATAATCAAAATTCTCCATCACCAAAAAGCATCTTCATCTATCCGGCATCCACAATCGACACTTGAACCCAACTCCCTAGTTCCTAAAATTCCACCAAGAAATTACTGTTGACCAAATAGGGTTGAAACACACCCTATAGCAAAAACCACACCAAATTCCTTACTATAACTTTCACCTTCAGTGATCCTGAAAAGCATTACAGACATCACTAACACTACTGTACCTACGCTCTATGAGTCCAACCCTAGCAGCTGAAACAATGTATCTGGTGAAATTGGTTGCAAAGCGGAATTACCAATGCTCTTTTGAGTAATGTTCTGAACCGACTTAGAGCCAATCACAAGAGGCACTGTACCAAACTGAATATCCACCACGGTACTGAACTAGTACTGATATCTTTTAACTGGTTTTGGGGTTCCCTACAAAATGTACAACGAAAACTTCTTCCGTCCCTCCAGTACAATCTGGACACCCCTTCGGACCTTCAAGACTCCACCCCCACCAAAGAAATTATACCCTTTTACATACAGGGTACTCAGGGATATGAGATTTATTTTTAGGTCTGGAACATGTCGAACCTGATCAAATGTTCTGACCGGCCCATCTTGTAAACTTAATCTGACTCGACCGAGACTGGTTGTTTCCCATCACAACTCTACATTGCTTGACAGCCTTGTATGCCTGAAATAAATTCTAATTTGAACACATGATGCGAATATGTCGAATCAAGAATCCACTTCTCATCAGGTTTAGACTCCACATCAGATACCACAGTCAACATCACATCACCACCATCCAAAAAATCATCGGTAACATTAGTCTTGTCCGAATTACATGACTGCCTCCTATGATTTGTAGCTAAATTATCTTTAACCTGCAACTTGTCGTAATCTTTTTTAATGTGTCATTTCCTCCTGCAATAGAAGCAGTACAAATTGCTGAAGTTTGTCCTCAATCTACTCCATCCTCGATCACCATGAGATATCAGAGCTTCCTCATCCCTTTATATAGCTCCAACCCAATGCTTCTTCTTCTTCTTTGAGAACAGAGCATCGTAGACATCCTTAATGGTCAAAGTATCACAATTGTATAGGATGGTGTCCCGAAATGATGAATAAGAGATGGGCGGCGAACACAATAGAATCAAAGCCAGATCCTCCTCTTCGTACTTAAACTTTAATTTCTCTAAATCTGCAACTATTTCATTGAACACAGCAATATGGTCTTCTAGTGACCCCACTTCTGACATGCGATGTGAATACAACTTTTATTTTAGAGTTAGTTTGCTAGTAAGACTTTTAGTCATGCATAACTGCTTCGGTTTCAACCACAAAATAGTCGTCATTTTCTCTTTCAAGACGTTCTGCAAAATATTATAGGATAAATGAAGATGAATCTGTTATAAAACCTTTTGATCCTCCCTTTATTTCTCTTCAGATGTCCAATTACCTGGCATCTTTTCAAAACCCAGCAATGCCTCGTCCAAATCCAACTGCACCATAATAACTCTCATCTTTACTTGCCACATAGAAAATCTTGTATTGCGATTCAACAATGAAAATATCACATTTCCATGTAGCCATCTCTTAAAAATCTCAATCAAATCACGAAGAACCTGCAACCTATCTCTGATACCACTTGTTGATCTCAAAGGTGACGCAATGATTGACATTAATGACGTTGTATGAAATATATAACAAGAGCATAAAGATAAAACAAGATTTAAAGTAAAGAAATCAAATAGAGTTAAGTAGAGGAAATGATGTTTTATTATAACAATGTGGAGAGAAAGTTAAAACACAACAATTTTTGCCTGAACAAAATTGAAAGAAGATGTCACTATTTATAGGTACATACCATATCATAAAGATGAAAATAAAGTAAAATAAAGAAATAATATATTTTCAATAAAATCACGTGAAAATAAGGAGACAATTTTTTTTCTAATTTGGGTTATAAACCTAACAAGTTTCATGAAATTTCTATGTATAATTGTCAGTTTATGGTACATATGCAAGTAGGTACAAGTATAATTCTTAACAACTCACTGAATTCCTTTTCCTTTGACCCTACTCTTTTCTGTTTAATCTTTAACAAGCAAAACAGATCTGAACTTGTTATTGTTTAAATCTGCTCATTTTACATTGGATTACCAATTGCTTGTTGGATAGTATCAATGAAGAAAAATAAGTTAAACCTGGGTTTGTTCAAATTCTCATATGTGGTCGGTCTTGTCCAATATTGTGTGTCAGATATGAACTACTAAGGGGTTGTTCTCTTCGTGTTTGAACTTTGAGTTTTGAATTCATTTTAAATTTTGTGTTTTGAGTGTGTGTTTTGAAATTGTTGAAAACATATTCTTTTTGTTATTTTGAAAAATATTTTTTAAAACATGAAAATTAAAAACATGTTCTTTTCAGGAAATCAAAATGGTCATTTTCTCTTCTCTAGCCACCATGAGATGCCGTCTTCAACCTCACAAACCAACCACCACCTGACTTCCGCCACCGTCGCCACCGGATTTTTGCACCAACACCATCTCTTCATCAATCCCCACCAACCCTACACAAACAACAACCCCAAATGACAGCAAAATCAAGCCAAGCATGGTCCAAAAACAACCACTCACACACGATTTTCTACCAAATTCGATCAACCCAGTTGCTGCCCATGTTAATCACACCCCACAGCTCGATCAAGCTCAGCAAGGCACGTCCATACATGATATTATAACAACAAACAACACAGATATTTGACACAGGACAACGAATTTTCCAGTGACATTGGTGATGACCCATGGGTTCTTTGGTTGCGCCATGATGAGGCAGTGTTAGGGGTGATGATCCACGATCGTGGGTTGCGTCGCCAGAGCTGAAAATCGCGGTTGCAGGGGTCCAACCACTTCCAGGAGAGAGAGATGGACAGAGACCGGATTTTATCAAAAATGGGAGCATTTTCCGCATTTTCAAAATTTTCAAGTTTTACACTGAAAACATCCAAAACGATAAAACCATCGTTTTGTGTTTTCAGTACAATTGTTTTTTTTTTTTTTTTTCAAAAACGCCTTTTCGAAAACGGGAAAGAAAATGCGTTTTCACCGTTTTGAAAAATCGAAAACAGGAAACGATCCGAAAACAACAAAGAGCCCACCATAAAGGTTTCCAATTTCTGCATCCAAGTTTTCGCATTTTAATGCTGAGTTCCAAAGGGTACCCGCTGCAGTAGTTTGTTGTAACTTCTTACTTCGAATGATAAAATAAGCCTGATTTTTTAAGTGTTTGTTTGTGGTTTCTTATTAAAATCCGGTAGAATCCCGTGTGGAAAAAAAATAAAAAGGTTAGTACTATAATATTTTATTGGAACTTGTTTGCAGCTTGGAGGGCCCTACATTCCTCTTAAAACTGGAAGAAGAGATGGCAAAAGCAAAGCTGATATACTTGAGTAATACCTCCCAGACCACAATGAGAGCATGAGTGTTGTTCTTGAGAGGTTCTCTAGCATTGGAATTGACACCCCTGGATTGGTTGCTTTGCTAGGTATGCATACACAGACAAAATATTTAGAACTATAATTTCCCAAATAAATTTATATTTCCATAAAACTTTGCAACCTTCGGAGAGTTTTACAATTGTTCGAGAATTTTACAACTATTCGATGCTTACAGGAGCTTACAACGTAGGTCAAACCCACTGTGTTAAATTGGTTCACCATCTATATCCAGAGGTAGATCCTAAACTCAACCCAGGCAATGTTAAGCACATGCTCCACAAGTGCCCAGATGCGATCCCTGACCCTAAAGCTATGCAGTATGTGAGGAATGACCGTGGCACACTGATGAAACTCGATAACAATTACTATCTGAACATACTAGATAACAAGGGTTTGTTGATTGTTGATCATCGACTTGCTACAAATAAGGTAACCAAGCCCTACGTAAAGAAAATGGCGAAAAGCCAAGATTATTTCTTCGAGGAGTTCTCTCGAACCGTTACTACTCTCTCTGAGAACAACCCTCTCACTGGCACAAAAGGTGAAATACAAAAGCGGTGCAATCTTGCCAACAAGCTCCATCAGAAGGTTTTGCTGCAATTGTACCTGTGAGGGAGAATGGAGTGAGAGTTACAAAATTATGATAGTTACTAATGGTTCTTGAGTGTGGCAATAAAATCGTACTTGCCTTGTAATTATAAGAAATGTTTCAATGCAGATTTCTCCCTTTTCTCAGGCAAAGTGGTTGATGTGGATAAAGGATTCCATGCAAACAACCAAGATCCTTAGGAATCATTTTTTCCCATAGCATAAATAGTAATATATAGAATTAGACAGTACGATAAATACAATTTTAACTTCTGTTCCGTGTAATCTACTAAACCAAGTAATCCGTTAGATGAGATTGGTATCTGCTGTCAACAAATCCAGGGAGAACGGTGGGCATATTTAATCCCAATCGTTTATCACACAGGAATCCACTTACAAGAATAAACACTGTTGTAAGCATAAAATTTATTGGGCATCCAATACATTACGGATAAACACAAATTAGTAATGGAATAGAGTATGCACAACACCATCTACAGCTATCTGAACAAAAAGGCCTCACAAATTCTTAACCATACTCCCTTCAATGTCACGAAAGCAGTTGATACTCTGACAAGAAATCAAGATAATACGTCATCTTGCACCTCGTCCCCAGCATCTCGTCATCCTTACAGAACTTTCTCATGAGTCCAAAAAACGAACTGCTCAAAACATTATTTGCCTTGACACTAGAAGAGCTTCGCCTGTTGTGTTGTTCCGCTTCTCATCATTTGACAGAACTCCTCGTAGTTGATCCGTCCATCCTATAAAATGAAACAATATAATGCTGATCTATATCTAATCGCAAGGTGTCTTATCTCATTTCTTGAATCAGGCATACGCTTACATTATCTGTATCAACTTCTGAAATTATTTCCTTGATTGTGGTCTCATCACCCATACCGTACTCCTTCATAGCAGTTTCCAGTTCATCTCTCGTAATATAGCTGAAATGACACTAGGAAATTAGGCGATGACAAATGTCATGGATAATGCAAGGAAAGCATGAAAAACCCCACAAGCTAGCACTAATTTAACACATAATCAGAGGATTTGGACTTCTTTTTCTTTGTTAAACAGTCTAGTACTGTTAATCCAACTTAACAAACTTCCTTAGATGTGTACAAGATAAATGCAGTTGACATTAGACCATCATCATGGCTTACCCACTGTTATCCTTGTCAAAATACTGAAAAGCTTTAAAGAGATGCTCGTCTCGTTCAAGCTTATGTCTATGCATCGTAGCAGTTATAAATTCAATATAATCAATTGTCCCATTTCCATCCACATCAGCCTGAATTATAAAGAATGAACAGATTAATCCAAGGAAGCAGTCATGGCAAATAAAGGTTCTATAAATTTTGTCCATAGAGACGATTGGAACTTACAGCTTCCATGAGTTGTTTTACTTCTACTTCTGACAGTTTTGACCCAAGGCGAGCCAATCCAGATTTCAATTCTTCATATGTGATTGCGCCACTCTTGTCTGTGTCCATATTTGTGAACATTGCTTTGAGACCTTTAATTTCTTCTTCAGATAAACTTTGTGCAATGACCTACAGGAGTTTCCAAATGCAACAGCACATAGTAAGGAAAAGAACATCTCCATCTAAGTTCGAGCAATATTGCATATATTACATGGTTGCCAAAATGATCAAGATCCATGACCATAGGAAAAGTACTTTTTTGATACCATATAGTAAATTCTCTAAAGAACTCCATTCATGTCAAGTCGAATTCCCTCTACTTTCTATTTGAGGTTGTTTCATAATAATAGTCATTATTCCTTAAATGGAAATTTTTTTAGTATTCCACGTGGGACCTACTCATCTACTGGTTACCGCAAAAATGCAATTTATGAGCACCTTTTTTGGTCCCTAGATTAATTATATATCATGTTTTTCACTCTTACCTAAAAGCTTGTTTATCAGAGTGGCTTTTTTCCCCCCAAAATCATTTTCAACCTGAGATTCTATTAGATTCACAACTTTTCACTATTTTTTAACCATATATTCTCCAAAAAATCATTTTTCCATTGGAAAAATCTGTGCCAGACAAGCTTTAAACAATCATACCAAGATATTGATATTGACCCTAAGGAATTGATATAAATTGAAAGCAGTCTATTATCC